TCTGCCTCTTCATGCCCCCGCCTCGCCTCTTCCCACCCAGTTCCGCCCCCCTCCCCCGAGTGTGCTGTGCCCTCATGCCTCCTCCCCCCCCCCACGCGCCTCCTGATGCCGCAAAACAGCTGATCTGTGGCAGGTGGTAGGCACTGGAAGGGAGAGGGAGGTGCTGATTGGTGGGGCCCGCCAGCAGGCAGGAGGCGCTGGGGGGAGGGAGAGGTGTTGATAGGAGGGCTGCCGGTGGGTGCTAAGCACCCACCATTTTTTTCCCATGGGTGGTCCAGCCCCGGAGCATCCATGGAGTTGGCGCCTATGGCTGGATTTTTGTCAGGATGTGAAATATGAACAGCCAGCTTTCATTCTTATGGTTGCTTGCTACACTGTGTGATTTACTTACTATTACATTTCTCCAGTTGTATACTGGTTCCTCTGTAGGTGGTGCTGCAGAGTAGTTTGGACTTGCTCTGAGGTGAGGATGGTGGTTGATTAAGGTCGGGCAATTTTTATAATCTACTTGAGAATTTGGAAAAAAGAGAATGAGTGAGAAAAGGGAAGACAAGGAAATAATTTTTTTTTAAATCACCTAAATCTTCCTTCCGGGTCTACCATTTTACCTTGTCCTTCTCTGTCTGCCTTCTAGATTATAAATTCTCCAGAGCAGGGACTCTCTTAATATTGGTGGTTTATCCAGCACCAAGCATATAGTAGTCATATACTAAGACTAATAATAATAATGTCACTAGGTTGTTGGTTTTTTTAGTTTGACAGAAAACAGAATTCATGAAAAGAGGCTCATTGATCAATATAAAATAGTTTGGATAATAAAGAAAAGGCCCATGTTCACCAACAGGGCCGGCTTTAGGAAGTGCGGGGCCCAATTCGGATACCCGGTGGCAGTCTGGGTCTTTGGCGGCACTTCGGCGGCGGATTCTTCACTCGCTCCAGGTCTTCCGCAGCACTGAAGGACCCGCTGCCAAAATGCCGCCGAAGACCCGGAGCGAGTGAAGGACCCGCCGCTGAAGTGCCGCCGAAGAGCCGGACCACCGCTGGGTGAGTAAAAATTAAAAAGTTAGGCGCTCTTCTTTCGGGCGCGGGGCCCTCTTACGCTTGGGCGCAGGGCTCTCTTAGGCACGGTGCCAGATTCGGGGGAATCGGCCTAAAACTGGCCCTGCTCACCAAATATAATGATGAAAGCAGGGAACATCATAGAAGACTAAAACAAATGTTAGAATTGTTAGAAAGGAAAAGAATATTTTGTACACTTTCTATGCAAATGTCCATCAGTACAGCCAAGTGGAATGAAATAATAAATAGAATTCTGTAAGCATGATTTTAGGCAGTTCCATCCTATTGATCTAAAAATCTTCCTAATGAGGGGCCTAGAGAATGTTACTAATCTAAATGAACTACAGGGAAAATATTCCTGTGGTGTGAGCATCTGCAATGCCAAAAAGAATTTACACTGAAATAACTAAAGTCTTCAGGAGGTTTAAAGATAGCGTAAGGTAACACTGGGTTGATACATCTGGAAACAATTACACACTGTTTAAATGAACAGAAGACGATTTTGAAGGGATATGCTTATTGCATTTTGAAATATGGGCCAATCCCGAGAAGTGTGAGTTGCAAATCCTTGGCATCTTTCTGGATTGGGCCCCTATGGATTTAGACAAGATCAATACTATATATGATACAAATTATCAACACTTGTAAGAAATTATATATAATGGGTTCTTCAGCCAATGTAAATCAGCATAGAATGGAGTTACATTGATAAAAACCAGCTGAGGATCTGGCCCAATGTATATATTACTATCTATGTATTAGACCGGGGGTGGCCAACCTGAGCATGAGAAGGAGCCAGAATTTACCAATGTACATTGCCAAAGAGCCACAGTAATACGTCAGCAGCCCCGCATCAGCTCCCCACCCTACTCCCAGTGCCTCCCACCCACCGGCTGCTGATCAGCACCTCCCCCTCCCTCTCTGCACTTCCGGATCAGCTGTTTCATGGCATGCAGGGGGGAGGTGAGCGCACTGCAGGCTCAGGGGAGGGGGCCGGAAGGGGTGGAGTGGGGGTAGGGCCTGTGGCAGAGCCAGGGGTTGAGCAGTGAGCACCCCCCGGCACATTGGAAAGTTGGTGCCTGTAGCTCCAGCCCCGGAGTCGGTGCCTATACAAGGAGCCGCATATTAACTTCTGAAGAGCCGCTTGTGGCTCCAGAATCACAGGTTGGCCACCCATGTATTAGACTATTATAGGTTAACATGTCAAATAATAATATATGCCTCTTGGGAGAAATCTTGGCTCATTGAAGTCAATGGCAGTTTTGACACTGATTCAATGGGACCAGGATTTAACACTTTGTCTTCCTGTTTCCCCATTATGTAAAATTAACAAACAAAAAATAGAAAAGAGCTCAAGTTGTACCGTATTTTGAGTCAAAAGACCTCCTCTATATTGCAAATCTCAATTGACAGCCTGCCACTGTTTCAAGTTTTTAAAAGCCATCATGTTTACACTTAAAACCTATAAAATCACAATTTTCTAAGAGATTATCCAGAACTTAAGTTACAACATATGCACAAAAATGTTTATCTTCATTTGTATTTAATGGATCCATCTTAATGTAAATTCAGTGAATATAGAAATCATTTGTCCTTGAATGTTTTTTTGTTTGTTTTTGCATTGCAAATCATTGTTGTATCAATTCATCCACAGTGTAATTTGCGGGACATTTTGCAGTTAAATACATCAGGAAAACTGATAAATGGCTGCTGCACAGTAATTATGAATACGTTGACAATAAGAAACTATTGTCCAAACAAAGCAGTCTAAGGTTTTTTGTGTATAAAAAATTAAAAATGATAAAGTATAATGAAAATAATTGTTTTTACCTGGTGAATACTGAATCTCACCATCAGAATGTTGCTGTAACACCTCTAAGGCATCTTCAAAGGCTTGACCCAATATGTCTTGGTCAGAATAATTCTGTAAGAACAATAGGTCTTTTCTGCTTGAAATCAACAAAGAACAGCTTTGATACTTCAAATTCCAAGTACTTGGAAAATCCCAAATAAATAGAAAAATATAATAGATTATGCATAGAATAAACCATCCTGGAAGAATATAAATTTTGCAGATACTGACAGACTGATCCTATAACCGTTATACATGTGACTAGTTTCTGGTCTTTTGAGAAGTCTCTTTGAGATCAACAGGACTATTAATGTGAGTATAATTACTCATGAGTGCAAATGTTTCCAGGATCATGTCTTTAATTTGCAGCAAAAGTTTACAAAAAATTGTTGAATTGTTTTATAGTCTTTAATAAGAAGTTTTATATCTATAATATATTAAAATTAATGTTATGAAACAATAACATGGAAGTGGCTTAACATGTGACACACAAATTAGGAACCGAAGGCTACAATATTGTAAAGAAGCATATAGGAAGCCACATTGTGGAATTTTACAAAACCACTTTTTGCCATTTGTATGGCAGTTCGGTATTTTATTCAAAGTAGGGATAACAATAATTTTGCAAACTATGCAAACTCCTAAGAGTTTTCTAGTAGTAAATTGGAAGCTGTTCTTAATGAAAAATAAGAATAAAGGGACTGCAGACTTACCATTATTTAGATACCAAAGTTGCAATCCTGTTTAAAAGGAAACAATATTATTTTCAGGTATTTCAACATGACTAAAATTACTTCAGTGGAATCAATGGAGTTACTCCAGATTATTAAAAGTGCAACTCAGGACAGAATGTGAAATATTTATGTAATTTACATCATTATCGATAAAAACCTACCTACATTTAGAAAGTGCACTTTGATTGAAATTTTTAATATAATTAATATTAAATTAGTTACAGCATTGATTTTAGAGAATTGTCTTGGATTTTGTATTAAAAATTCCACACAATTTCTCAATATTAATATTTCATGGAAGCACCACGTTACTTTCACTAAAACTATTAGTTCTGACATTATTACCTCACATATCTAACCTCTATATATGAACATTTTAGAGAAATTTTAAAGTGACTATATATTGCTATTGGCATTAAATCTTGATTACCTTAACCTCTTAATTTCCCAAAGATTATTGGCCTGACTCAACTGCAGGTATTTAAGTCTTTCTGGTTTTCAGACGTCACTGAAAACAAGAATAGTTTTTTCCCCTCACCATAATTTAGCATATGTATAAATATGTATGCATATACATAGCCCTCCAGAGTAATTGTCAGTCCCTCAAGCAAATTAAGTTGTTTTATAAACAATGATGATAGATTAATTTTTAACTAGCTGAACATAGAATATATGTGATGTGCAGTATTATGTATAGATGGTTTCTTAGCATTTCTTTTGGCACATATAGACATATATATTTATGCAGTTTTATATAATTAGTTTTTGCTACCTCTCTGAAATGTGCCCTGGAATTTTTTTCAGTTTTAAGTGTAATATTCAAATTATCTTAAAAATTCAATCAATCAATATTTTACCTCGTTAAAGATTTGATCCTGCTCCATTGAAAACAGTGGAAGTTTTGACACTGACTTCAATGAAAGTAGAATTAAGCTCTGTAAAAGAATCTGGATGAGGTATTTAAATATAAATGAGAAACAAATACTTTGTTCATAACTGACCGTAAAGATCTGACCTGTTAAATACACTCCTGTAAACAAGTAGCAGTGTATTTTAAAATGTATAGCAAGGTACTGTCTAATTTTATAGATGTCTTTTAAACCCTTCCTGACTAAATTGTTTGTTACCATATATGTGATTCTGAGGATCTAAACAAAAAGAGTGAAATCTTGGCCCAACAACGTCAATGGTTGTTTTGCCATTGACTTCAGTGAGATCAGGATTTCTCCTCAATGTCCTGTCTCTCTAACATACACAGGAAGGACCAAATTGCTCTTTGGTATAAAACTATTGATTTTGATTTCAGAGGTAACTGAAGACAGATTTTGGCCCTGGTATTTGTTGCATACTGAGCTTTAGAATTGATTTTAAAGGCTTGATCTGCATTGCTGAAATCCATGGGAGTTCATATTTAAAACCAGCATTCCTGGCATTTTAATTAACATACATTTCTTAAAATGGAGCTGTTTTATCCCACCAAAACTCCAGACTAGTAAGTGGTAAAGTTGATTACATTGCTACAATAATTGATGGCTTACATAGCCTAACAAGGTAAAATACTGGTAACCACTGAATGACTGTACCATTTGCAGAGCTGAAAACAGAGAAAGAGAGAGGAAAAATAATCTGAACACTTACCTAAAATAGAAACTTCACGTACAACACAAAGAACCAGTTATATAAATAATGAAGGACTGAATTATTACAGCAATAGGCTGGCAGAAAGGTTGCATTAAATAGCTGATTTTGGGGAAGTGCTTCAACTAGGGGTTTTTGTTTTGTTTTTGAGCAAAGGTGCAGCACAGTGCCATCATAGTTTTTAATTTTGCATAGGGCAATAGATAGAATGACTATGTGCTGCAGAATGGTTTTTCCAAAATAGTAGCAATTTACTTTGGAATAAAGTAAAGAGTTTAAACTATTGCTTAAAACATGCAAAATTATAAGCAATTAAAACTCATTCTGTGTGACTGTGGAACAACCTTGTAAAATTGTCATGAAAATGTTACAGCCCAGGTACAAAATCTGCTTGCCTTCCCTTTGCCATGATGATTGGGGTGAGATGTTGGAGTGGAGAGAGAAGTGAATATTGTCCCAGCCATACCGGAAGAAAGACAGGAGGCAATGGATGTGGTTTAATTAGCCCACAACCTTATTCACTTAAAATACCTTATAATAAATTATACAGTGCAGGTCATAATTTCCTTAATTGTTCCCCCCAATTTGGGATGGCTGCTCTCAGCCCTCCCCCTGCCCAACCTGGTCCCAGCCAGCCTGTTGCTGGGACCCTGCTGCCATCCCCTTGTATGAGGTTTAAGGGGTCTGGAAAAGGAGAGGGGTTGGCTCCCTGTTGTACCAGCTGTTAGGAGTACTGAACCCCCTTTCCCCAGCTTCCTTAAGGGAGGCTTTTCTCTAAATTCCCATCCAATCTATTTTATCCGATAACCTTCCGTAACTAGAACCTGTACTCGACATCTGTCACAGCAATGTGCCAACAATTAGCTTGGATGTCTCCCCCACCGTCCGCCAGATTCATCAATATTTACCAATTCCTTCCCTACTATCGGACAAAAATACATCTGCTCCCCAGTCAGATGGGTGTGCCCCACCCATCCTGAATAACTGGTGCCCAATAAGATATGTGCAGATGAGTAATTACCAATTCCTCTGGATCACACATGAATTTATACATCTTCCAATTTACGTGCCTCCTGGCCTTATCATGAAGGCTTTGTGGCTCCATGCCATACCCTCCACTGCCACATTTCAGACCAAATAATTGTCATAATAACCCAGGAAAAAATCCTGGATCTGCCCCGAATCCCTCTTAACTTTGATTATCAAGTCAACCCACTGACGTGCTCCTAAATCATTGTGAAGTGAAAAATAATCATGTCTGGGCCCAGATCCACAAAGGTATTTAGGCTCTTAACTTCCACTGATTTCAATGGAAGTTAGGAACCTAAATACCTTTGTGGATCTAGGCCCTGGTGTCTGCAGTCATGGTAACACATTTTACTCATCCATCAATCTTCCCTGAGAGGGTGACCTTCTAGGATTTTGCTAGTAGAATTTTAGAAATTGCTAGTAGCGTCTAACGATTGTGCCCAACTACCTTTCCCCAACAATGGGCCAGATCCTCAGCTGGTATAAATAATCATAGTTACATTGGTTTCAATGCAGTTATGCCAAGTTACACCAGCTGACGATCTGGCCCATGTATAAATTAGGAAGAAAGCTTCTAATATATAGAAAGATCTAAATCAAAATTCTTGCTCGGTACAGTCCAGAGCTCCTGATTTTTGGGAAAGTTCCTCTTTTCACCGGGATCTAGGCAGCTAACTTTTCAGAAACAGACCCATCTATTTTGGCATGTTTTCCAAAATGACCTCAATTGCATGCCATGCAGTGCTGTAAAATAGTATTCACCCAGATGAGCCAAGCACTGTCTTTAACAAGTTCAATGTAAAGCTCACATAAGTAGAATGACTGTCAATTAGTAATACTACACATGACTCTGAACTGTGAGTATAACTGATTTGCAGACAAAAGTATCTGTGGATGCCAAATACAAGGGCAATTTTGCAAAACTAGGCCCTAAACCTTCAAGATATCTGACATTTTTTCCTAGAAAAATACAGTACAGTAATAGTTCACTGTTGGTGTTTTAAACCTAGAGTTTAATTTTTACAAATTATTCTGATTTGACTTGTGTTTTTAAAAGAAAATGAACCGCAAGAAATATTCGTAAAATTGTGAATCATAACTCAGTGTGTGATGTGGGACTAAAGCTGATTAAGCAATTAGCTTCCTGTTCATCTGCTCAAGTTTATCAAGTAGTTAAACTTACAGTTTTGCTCTGTAATGTGAGACTAAAACAAGTTCTATAGTTTACCCCTTTCTTGCAACAGAAACATAGTGACAAATCTTTTCAATTGTATCAGATTTTTAAAATAAGAATGAGCTCTAAAATATGAAGAAGAAATTTGCCATATTTGTACTTGTTTATATAGCATTAATCCAGAACTCTACAGGCAGATTCTGACCTCAGTTACACCAGAGCAAACTCTGAAAAAACAATGTTTAAGTTAATGAAATTAGACAGGTGTAACTGACATTAGAATCTGGCCCCATGGATGCTAGAACAATGTGTATAGTGGGGGTGCTGACAGCCACTGAATCAAACTGTAAATTCTGTGTATAATGGAAACCACTTCAAGTCAGGGGGGTGCGGCAGCACCTCCAGCACCTTTAGTTTCAGCACCTATGACCAAATTCTTGCTGTGTTCTTATCAGCTAGAAGTGCTTGTTGACAGATAAGTGATGCATTATTGCAGGAAATATTGTGGCCTGCACTTGTGTCTAAGTCTGCATTCAGGTTGTTATTATTCCATATCACAATTACCCCTGTGTTGTTCATCTTGGCCATGGACTTGTAGTGAAATTGAGAGAGGGTCAAAGATAGAGGTTTACAATGTTAGTACATAAAAATTAATATCTCTCTTAAATTAAGTTGCCTGATCCGTGTCATCTCATTGATGATACCAGATCATATTGTAAAGAAGGTGAATAACACTCATTTTCTGTTTTCATATAGGATGGTAAAACATAGTATGATCATAACTGCAGCTCTTGTTTTGTATGGTGGACTTAAACTCCCTAATTTATTTGGAGAATAGCACTTTTAATCTTCTACATGTTTTGAGCTGCCAGTTAGGACTTAATCTTACTCCTTTTGAAGTCTATTGGAGTTTTGGATTTGTAATGTAAAGAATGTCTCAAACTCTGTGCTTCAGCTAACATTGGGTATCATTATTAAAAAGAATATACCACAAGAATACTGGAGTACTAGCATTCACAATATTCAGAAAGCTTGTCTAGACCAACGTGCCAGTCTCAGCCAGGTCAAATGTATCCATGGGCTGTATTGTATTCCCACACAATTGTATGAGTATATTGCCAAACATATTGGCTGGAGGCAAAAGAGACATGAGTTCTTTGGAAGATGGCAGGTATAAAGTGCAAAGATTTTAACACAGATGAAGAAGTTATAAAGAGAGTAGGATGTGAAGTCTGGGTATGGGATTGGCTGCAATCAAAAATATTATGATGGTGGGGACACTGTAGAAGACAAACAGATGACAGGATGCCAAAGAAAATAATGCAAATACAGCCAAGGTCAGTCAGGCCTAGAGGCTGACCACCAACTAGGTGGCAGGACATTGTGCACAGGGACATGACCAGGCTGGGTTTAATGGAGGAACAAGCTACGGACAGGAATGAAAGGCGATGCTGTAGTGCTCTCTATATCTGTAAAGATGCTTTGGGATGAACAGATTATTGACCAACAGTCAGCATTAAATGTGACAGTAAGAAACATATATATATTTACATGAACTGTGAATGTCCTTTTATCATAGATAGATATAGTATCTGAATGTTCTCTAAGAAATGTATTTCTGTGCATCTATAATGTGTCATTGTATTAGGTATAAATACTCATGTGAATATGGTAATTGTTATTATTCTATAATATCATATCTATATCTCCATTTTATATGTGCCTTCACATAGAACTAGCCTGGAGTCCACATCAGTTAACTGAATGTGCTTTCAGTCTTTGCAAGTCTAAAGACCTTTGAAAACAAAAACTTCTAAAATACTAGACTGGTGGGAAAATTGTAAATTCGAAGGATGACTTCTTTCTTTTGCATCACTGAGGAAATGATACTAGAACAGCCTTAGGTTTTCTAAAGTCTCTTGTTCTATGGAGGTAAATATTTAGGGCCATTATTTCAAATATAAGTGTTCAAGTTGCACTTGAAAAATATGCTTGTGTGAATACAGAGAGGTGACTAGGTGTGCAAAATATGTAATTGCACATGGAAAACAGGTACTTGCATGCACAAGATGGGAATTGCCTGTACAATGCCCTGAGTGGCAACTGAAGCAGCATATTTTGCATGGGAAGTTATCTGTTTGCACCCAGCACGTACCCATTGCATACACAATTTTTTAAAAAAAATTAGGCCCTTAAAGCTCTCCTCAGGCTTGCTAATAACAATTAATAATAATGTTTAGCACTTGCCTGGTGTGCTTTTTTATTACTATATCGCAATGTGGTTTACAAAGGTGGGTAAATAACATTATCCCCATTTTACAGATGAGGTAAATGAGGTATATAGAGAGAAAATGAACTGCCCAAGGAAGAGCTGGGAATAGCACTCAATTATGCTGACTTCCAGTTCCAGATCATGTCAACTGGATCACAGTACCTCACTCTGTGCTGAATTCTCTCTCCCCTTGGTTTCTGATGGTAAAATTATCACACTGATTATATACTGCAAAAAAAAATCCATATCAGCAAGTCTCAGAGCCTGGACCAACTGACTCAGGCTTGGGGGGCTCATGCTACAGGGTTAAAAATAGCAGTGTAGACTTTTCCACTCTGGTTGGGCTCTGAGACCCACCCCCCTCACAGGCTTTCAGAACCTGGGCTCCAGCTTGAGCGAGAACATCTACACTGCTATGTTTAACCCTGTCACACGAGACCTGCAAGCCTGAGTCAGTTGATCTGGGGTCTGAGACTTGACACCGCAGGGTTTTTTTGTAGACGTACCCCATGTCTCCCAAGGTTGATGGAGTTCTCCTCAGAGTGAATCGAGGGGATATGTGCAGAACTAGCTGTCTTTGTGGAGAAACAAGCATTGTTCTTTTTAGAGTTGGGATCTTGTTGTCCCCACCTCTGGCTGAGGAGAGATGGCTACCATCAGCCTCCCCAACAAATCTCTGCTATGGCTGAGCCTGGCAGTACACATCAACCACTCCATGTGTATTTGTGTACAAAGGAACTGAATGTGTCAGTTATGGTTTTTGCATCAGATGGGAAAAGTGGATTCCAGTAATGAGTTTGAAAATGAGAACATGCTATTCAAATCTTAGTGTCTCAAATGACTTATAAGCCTGATGTATTGAATTGAAATTTGAATGTCAATGAGAAATAGAGACACCATAAACCTCTAGTCTTCTATTTCCTCTTTATTTTAAAAACATACTCCCAACAATAGATTCATTGTTTAGGTTTCTGAAGCCACTCTAGCCTTTGCTTGGCTGTAAAACTTAATTCATACAGGTAGCGTATTAAAGGCGTTCTTCCCCGCAGTCTTCCCAAATGCTGCCTCTAACGTACATTAAATACATTTTTAAGTGTTTTCTATTACAATAGCTCTTAGAAGCCCCAGTCAGAATCAGGGCCTCAGTGTGCGAGGCACTGTTCAAAAACAGACTAAAAGTCCATCCCTGCACTTAGGAGCTTACAATCCGAAATGGCAAATGTGTTCTCATCAGATCTTTGTAGCATGCTCACCAATTCCAGAAGTCAGCTGAGTTGTAGTTGCCCAAACAAGAAAGATGGATGACTTAAGATATGAAATTCAGATAATCATAGACAAACTGGTGGAAATGGGGCCTGATTGTGGGAATTGTTCTGTCGTGGGGTGGTGGTTTGCCCCCTGTGGAATGTGCTCTTCAGGGATCTATGAGTGGCTGAGGCCACCCATACGGGGGCCCTTTGTCTCCACCCCTGCTCTGGCCCTCAGCAGGCTCCATTATGGCAGTTCCCTGGCCATGTAGCTCCGCTGAAGCTTTGCTACCAGAAATCCCATTGGTTGTAGCTGCCCTCATGGCTCCAGA